GCCGTTATTACAGCTCTAGCGTTCTTCGTACAGCTCAATTGATATGCGATCATTATTTTATGCATAATTCTACTATTAGTACTTTTGTCCTTGTATTTCTTACCTACTGCTGCATCCTGCTACATTCCTCCGCGCGCGACGCCCCTCTCACCGTGACGCGACAATTTTGTTACTACTGCACCACACCCCGAGACAACGATTACTTCACCACTAACCAGTGGAATCGCCGGGTATTCCTCCACCACCTTTCTTTCACATTTCGTTCATTGGATAGAGCTGGTGTAGTGGCACGTGACACACTACGAAATGCATGGTCTGGTGATCGAATCTCGGATTGGTACCCGCCCAGACCAATCAAGGTTCATCGTTCTGGTGTTGGTTTATTACGACAATGACTTGTAAATACATCGGTTGACCATCACAAGTCATTGTGTAAGCCAGATAGCATCCGAAATGCCACAACGATTTTGAATAGGAATCGAATGCAGGGCCCATCTCGAAAAGGGGATTGAATGATGTCAAAAATTTTATCCTTACCCATTCCATACCATCCGCTCATTACTGTAGATTTTTTGCTGTGGTCGGCTTTCGTTATACTGACGTTACTTCATTTAAACTGTGACTTCAGGAGGGCTTACAGAAGCGAGATGTGAAGACGAAGTATCTGGACCTTTCATTTCGAGGTAACAACTATCATCATTCGCTACCACGAAAAAAAGGTTGGAAACCTTGCAAAACGGAAAAAAGGTCATTTTCACAAGCTGTTAAGATCTTATATCGCCTCAGCTGACAAATGACCACCTTCATACAGTCCGCACTAGCAAGCTCTGACTATTAAGTTTTCAGCGCATAGAAATCAGTACCTTATGATAGGATTTTTTGCCAAATAGCAATAAGCTTATTGCGATGAGGGCTTTTCTTTCGTAGCTCAAAAATGTCCACATAAAACTACAAAAACCACTTTTCGACATGTTTTCATGTACTGTTTATTTTTTTTTTCACCAGCACTGGGTGGCACTGAGAGGACGAAAGTATGCATCGATGTTGTTGCTCCACCGTCTCATTATAGACTATTTATATACAAAAAATGATTTACATAGAAAAACTCGACATTATTGATATAAGACCATATGGGTCTACTACTTTCAGGTCATCAATCTGCAGACTATCCGAAATAACGACCAGCAGGTACACGTAAGCATCGAAGATCTGTTTTCATTGGACCCTCAGGTTAATATGATATAACCCTTACTTTCACTTGGTTGGTCTAGGCATTTATCGAGCCGGGAATTGAACCCTGATGATGCGTATTGATAGTCACCAACTACCATTACACCAACTCCGCCTAAATTACTTTACTTAAATATTAGGTTAGAAAGCAAAAAGAGCATAGTTGATAAAACGTTTCTGAGCAAGGGAGAGAAAAAAGGGAATGAGAGGGAACCTAGCTCCCTGTATTTATCGAAATCAGAGAGTAAAAGCCTAAGTATAGCCAGAGCACAGAACTACCAATATCGCAATTTCTGCATTTCTGCCAAGACTAAAACAGTTCAACTGATACTGTATCGGTCCTATGTATCACCAAAATGGTAAAAGGCCTTTTCCCTTGATGAGTATTCTTTTCCAGCTCCACCCTTTCAAAAAAAAGCCTGAAGGGACAACAACGCAAGGGAAAGGAGAGTTCACGTTTTTTATGTCACCGTTCGAGCATAACTATCGTTATCGAAATTCTGCACTAAAAGACTCAGTCTAGCAGCATCGCTACTACTACCATCATCAGAAGAGTTTCAGAAGACAGTTGTTAATAGAGCTCTAAATCAATCTGGCTTGTGAATTTATAAAAAATCATTAAATTAAANCTGAAGGGGTGGTTAAAGATGAGGAAGGAATCTGGAGCCCAAGGACCACGAACTGTCCTTGCTTCACATAAAATCACAGCCAGCTGCTTATGCAGACCGGAAAGGTGAGTTGTTTTTTACTGTGTTTCCCTTAGCAGCGTAATAAACATAGAAACATAGGTATCGGACTTGGATCCCTCACCGTAACTCGTAGATCAAGGTATCCAATTGTGGCCACTAAATTTTCATAACGATTCAATTGCAAAATAATATGGTAGTAATAAAAATTAACAACAATGTAGTATACAAAACATTATATTGCTATTTATCATTATTGCTTACTAATCGGTGGCAATAATCGAATGAAAATGGCTCTCGATAAAGATATGCGCAATAAGGCTGCCTAAACAACGTGGAGAACTTTCGGAAAAAAAACTGAATTTTCAAAGTTAAGTCTTACTTAAAGCCCCAGCATAGTTACAAAATACTTCAGAATTCCAAATATACAAAATCTTCACCGTGTTGAATTGGAAGGTGTTGAAAATGCCTTCGTGGTTTGCCCAAGCATCGTCATACTGTTCAAAAAAATATAAAATATTAAGTAATCTAATATTAAGTAATTATAAACAAAAGGGATATTATTAAAAATTCCGATGAACAGGTAATAAAGTAAAATACAAAGTAATAACTCCTCAAGCCTATGAAAAGAACATAATCTCGCAAAACTGAATGGGAATGTACTGTACTAATGCACAGAGCGTTCATTACTGAAACAAGCCATAACGAACAGATCAATTCTGAATGAATGTACCAGTTCATTTCCTGAAAGCTACTGAAAACTAATATGCCGCTTCCCAATCACTACTCGCTGTGAATAAGCAGACACTGAAGCTACAATTGTCAGCAATTACAGCTGTAATTACTGACAACTTACACAAGTACAGCCTATTTAGAACTTTTGCGCATTCAAAACAAACTGAAAAATGAAGCTCGTTTTTTTTTTGAAAATATTAGAGAGGGACCGAAAAGATTCGCGATTCATGGAAACTTCTCAAATGATATCATTCGCATCACCACAACAACCTCAGAGTCCAGTTTTGTCAAGTCTATGCTGACCTCAGGAAGTAAACCGAGAGCGTAAAAATTTGCAGATCTTAATACTTAGTTGACGAGAAGGCAAAAAATGCTATGAAGGGCTCACAGGGCTGGCGATTCGTGGACAAAACTTCGGTCTCGGACTGGGCTCGACCCGTGTATGTGCTTGCTGGGCACCCTGCTTTTGCCCATAAATCGCCAACGTTGCAAGACTTTGGGAACGCGCACTGTGGCGAAATAACAGCAATCAACAAAACATTGAGTCAAAACAAACTCTGAAGGGCACTTTGATTTAGTCCTAAAAGCTGACTGGCGGAGTCGTTGAGTATAAACCGTCTCATGTGCAATCACTTGAATCAGGAAAAGTTTCACGTCAGCGATTTTCAGTTCTGAAGAGTTGAAGGAACATCAATAACGAAATGAAATGCTTATTGAAAAGAGCTCCGAAGTTTAATGAAGCTGAAAACTGTGTCCGAAAGGATTTATGCCACACCTTTGTCTTTGCGCAAAAAAGCGTCTTCAAACAACACTTCCCCATGAAGTGTTAACCGCCAAAAACCCAAACTTATATTTATTTGTTTATTTAGTTTGCTCTCAAGGTGAGCCATGGCTAGTAGAACAAAGTAGAAATGTCTGTATAACCCCAGATACGGTACTCTTGATATTCCAGTAAATTGGGAAACGATCAGTTCTCTTTTCAAATCTTATTTCAGTTTGGTAGAGAGATACTATAAATACTCTGTTACTTCTGAGGAAAGGCAGCATGAGCTCAAACCAATGCTGACTCGCTCGTATAACAGACGTACATTAAATCTCAATTGTTTTTATACTAGGTAAACTAACAGCCTACCTACATATGTTGCGAACAAAAGTGCACTGGCAAACATGGTCGCCTTTTACGTGCATATTTGGTAGGATCGGCTCCACCCGACTTCGTGGAGCCTTTCACGCCTTTCACCTATGAATACTAAGCAGTTGACATAAATTTGTGCTCTAGGAAAGTCTCAAGCACCGAATTGCTTTTGTAGAACAAGGTGAACGCGTGCCAAAAATCGGAAAACGGGAGGGACTGAAACCGTCTATCTGCTCACATAACTTCTATAAAGAAATGCTTCTTCGACAGTCAAGAATCCTCAGACGAATCTGAAAGTTCATCAAGACATGGCTCCTGACCCAAACCTATCACTCAGCACATTTTATCGCTCGGCTTTTTGCCGACTACCGGTGCGGATTTACGGCTTTTCTCTCGTCGCACGTACCTGTTTGCTGATCTTCTTCGGTTAGCGCGCTCGCCACATCGGTCACACTCGCGCTGCCCGGTACTATTCAAACAAGTGTAGTCGATTGGTCAGTCTCACGTCAACGACGATGGCCATCTGGTCGCCGGCTTCCCTGCTCCTGGCCCTGAGGGTCTGTGTGACTCTGGCTGTCGACACCGGTCTATCTCCTCATATACAACCCATCAGCTACGATCTGTCTATCAAGATGCCAGACCCTTTGATTTCTGATGGCTTCACTGCTTCCGTTATTATACACTTGCAACTGACGGAGAAATCTCCGAACATCACGCTCCATGCAAAAAATCTTCACTCAATGAGAGAAGTGTCCATGATAGCTGTGAATGCCTCATTTCAACCGGTACTTATCAGCACTCGTCTTTATGAAGAGACGGTCGAATTCATCTTCCTACGGCCGCTGTCCGTAGGGCAATACCTACTCACCGTAGGAGAGTACAGTGGCAAATACTCGAACGGCTCTACGGGTGTGATTCAGCGGTACCACAAACTTTTCACCACTCACTTGCAGCCGAACTTTGCCCGACAATTACTACCATGCATAGACCATCCATCTGTGAAGGCTCCGTTCAGGATGACCGTCATCCACCAAACTGGCACTCAGGCTCAATCCAACACCATCGCTACGGATGTTTCGGTGGTGAACGCTACCTGGCAAAAAACTGTTTTCGCACCGACACCACCGTTGCCGGTTTACCTGGTCACTTTCTCCGTAATGCCGCCCGGATACCAAGAGGTTAGCACCATTTCTATTGTAAAAAAGTATCGTATGTTTAGTTTACACTTTTCTCGCCAAAGTGCAAAATGTTCCGCACGTTTGCGTGTCGTGATTTTTTACCTTTTCTCTGATTCCTCTTCGATCCATTACTCCTCACTTGAATTCACTATAACACTAATCAAATTGCTTCTTCTGAACGGAATAGAAATGTCAAAATACAAAATGTTAAAAACTTTTTTGTAAAGACGATGATTTTCTCTAAATAATCGTGCGGAAGTTTTGTAAAAAGGGGGGCCCGATCAGGATGAACCTCGGTGATAGAAACTTTCTTCTTTTAGCTTTCCGCAGACAAGGAGTCATGAGCGAGAGTGGAGTGAAGGGAGAGTGGGGTAGGGCACTAATATATTATCCCTTTCCCAGAGAACGAACCAAATATGATGTCCATAACAATGGTGGGGTTATTTCACATTAAAATGCATTCTGAGCCCAACAAGGGGCAGTTCCCATGACCTGCAAACAAAACGGACATACCTGATTGAATTCTGGGCTCAAGGATTCCACTTGAAACCGAGTCTCGCCAACAAACCTTACCTTACTCCTCGACTTCTGCTTACCAGTTCCTCTTCATCTTTCTATTTCTCTATATACCTTTTCACCCCCACTATGCCTCTCATTTTTTTGGTTTCCATGATGTCCCTCAAAAATATGCAACACGCAACAAGTTAGCTGGTCGAACTTCTCTTTCTGCAATTCACCCCTTTTCCTCAAGTGCATCATGCAAAATAGACTCGTTCATAATCGTAGACGTTTGGATGAGTCTCGACCCGAACATAGTGACCAACAAACCAGCTGATGTCTGAATAGCACTTCCATCCATGCAGACAAGCCTAAACCATCAAGTGACCACGAGACAAGAGAGATAGATGCTATGAGCGGGTTTGAATTCCTGGGCAAACCCAATTACTACCAGCTCTGCAACGTCTCCGCCTGTCCTCACTTGGTCACTATCATACCTATACTTATCTATTATTCGTTACCGACTGATATGATCTGCAGTATACAACAACATTCACCAAAGTAAATGGGGAATCAAAACAGTTTTCTATAAATACTTCAGAACAGCCATTGGAAAGTGAGAAAAGTCTGTGGACGAGTTCTCACGTTGCAGCTACTTTTAGTAAATCTAAAACATTTTTGCAAAAGTACACCAGTTATTGTTAATCTAATCACAGACTCTAACCACCTGTTCGTTAAACATCTGCATGACAATACGGTAGTTGTTGATTACGACGCACTTTTAGACAAAAACATCGAACGCTGACTGTCATTATTATTGCCTGTAGGTAACGCATATAACTGCACTTTGAAATCATCAGAATAAAATACAGCATAAAGTCGTAACAAGGGTGTCATTAGGTCCTTTCGTCACATCGATGACAAAAACCACAAGAAACGGTATAGACGGCTATAGAACGGAATTCATGCACCTAGTCAATCCTCTCTGGAAGGGATGAAGCTAAGAGGAAAAATTGTGAAACGGAAAAAGAGAAAAAGGATGTTCGTATGGAAAACTCATGAAACTTCTGCTAGCAGAAAATCAGGAGCCCTCAGAAATTTTCGCTGTAAAAGGGGTTCCGTGGAACAAAAAGCCCTCGAAAAAGAACAAAAAAAAGGGGGGGAGGGGACCACGAGCTTGCAAAGGTGCAGGCAATGGCAGAGGCCTGGTCCCGGTCACCACACCACCTGGCCGTAAGTGGGCATTGCTTTGATGAGTGAGCCTGAGTGACGCCAATAACAATGATTACCTAGAATATAACGTAGAAACATCAAAGGCAGGGTGACACCGAGAGTGGTATGGGCAGGGTAAATCCCTTCAGTTCATGTAATAACTATTTAAATGCTAAATGTATACAACAGGAAAAGTGTACGTCAATGGGAACAACACAATAACAGCAATTAAGAATAATCCAAGGCAACTGTCCAACCTGCAGGGATACAAGTGGTTCTGGCAGTAGGGTCAAGTATCGAAATCGGCTCATACGACGTTCTCTCCCTCCTCTAATTCCTTTCACTCATTCATGCTTTTGTCATATCTCTTTTCTCTTACCCTACATGGTAAGGAGCTTGAAGTGAGGCAGTAGATGGACGAAAAAGAGGAAAAAACGGCAGTGAGTCATTACTCGCTGCAAAATCCTTACTACACAAGAGGAGAGGAACTGGTAATAAAACAACAACATTGAAAAACAGAAGGCTTCATCAAAAATTTGTTTGTAAACATAAAAACTAACACCAATTAACTTACTTTCGAGTTTTTGCAAAATGCTTTTCAATGAGAAGACGGTTGCAAGCTGAGCATGCTTCCTACCGTTCTATTTTTCCAATGCCGAGCCGAAAAGCCTGGCTTTTAGGACTGATTTCCCCTTCCCTTCCCTTCTCCCAGCGACCAAATACGATCGCCATGATGGTACGGTCCACTCGATTCTCAAATTACTTGTAACATGTGAACTCCACTTTCTTGTAGTTCACGAAAAAAAAACCTAAATGACAGCAAAGTGTTTGCATCTGTTGAGCGCGACGTAAAAATGCAGAATTTCATTAGGAACTCATCGTAAAAACGATAACAAAAGCAATGTAAGTAATAACAACATCATTGTGTTGACGAACAGATGGCTGTTTACTCTAGACATACGCCTAGAGAATAACATAACAACAACAGCTGAGGGACACAGAAGGCAGCTTTGAGTGGCATCGAGGTGAATGCTCGCCAAGTGACGGCGGCGGCCGTGAGCTGGGACTTTGACGAGCCCCCTGCTGATAATTGCTGTGTGGATGGAGGGGGAGGAGGTATTTGTCAACAGATTACTTGGCTTAAAAGACATGGCTATGATCAAATTAATCCTATCAATGGGGATTCTAATACGTCGTAAACATGCAAAGGCTGGTCGCAAACGGATTTTCTGACGGCAACATCTTTTCATGACATCCAAGACAGGCACGTATAACTCGTAGTGGTTTTTGAAGCATTTTTTCGATTTCAATTCCGCCGCTCATGAATTATTAACGAGTCACTATGAAAGTAGGGAGAGGCGGTTTTCAGGACCCGATCTGAAGGTGGTAATGACTAAACAACCCACTTCAACTTTGCGTATAAACATCGTCAATTTCAAAGGTTCGAAGTTTCGCTAGAGTGCTCGGCATTCATAAGTTAAAAAACCCCTTAAATAAGTAAATAAGAAATTAAGATAAGTAAATAAAATTAATCAAAATGCCACAATAAATGGGTACACTCATCTAACCCTTCACTCAACCCAAAAAGCGAATGGTAACAAAGGCTGGCACATTTGGGAGAATGACCGGTATAAGATACTAAAGTTCATGAATCGGGTCGAAAGAGGTAGAGGCGATAGAAAAGAGCTTGGAGAAGTTAGAAATCACACCAACACTCTTAGAAAGCAGAAGACGGTCGGGTTATCTCGTTGTAGATAGAAACGATTACTAAAATGAATCGGGTGGCGAGTTTGATGATGAACATTCTAATATCCCCAAAAACTTGCCCTTCTGTTTTTTCATTTTTCGGTATTTTTTGTACTATTTGGCCTGATGATGGCTTTCATAATAACAAAGTATTGGAATCAATCCATTAATATCTCTATTACTTCGCACAAAACCTGACAATGCCACTGATTAAGCTTTTGCAATGAATGAACCGAAAGTCAGCTCTTTCCAAAAGAAATCCTGATTACTTACGTCATTTTTGCTACAAACAACACAAAATCATACGTTCAGCTCGTCAAATCGTAAATAACACTTCCTCGAGCGTAACAGTCAATAGGGGGTACACACGTGAGTGGACAAAAATCACATGTGTATATACATCACAACATGAAGTTTATGTTTTCATGTTACAAATGCCCCTAACGGGGGTCAAAATAAATAAGATTTCTAAAAAAAATCGGGAAAAATTCAGGAATCATAAGAAAAATTGACTTGAGAGAAGTAACTAGAAGAACAACAGCCTTTTGCCTTTTGCCAAAATTCACGTCGTGTACCTCTAACTGTCTGCTACCTCTTGGTCGAGATAGTGCGCTACTGTTATTGGCAAGTAGCCAAAAACCGTGCATCAAACGCGTTGCTGCCAGCTTTTGTATATATAGATAAGGGGACAAGGAAGTCGTGGCGCAAATATGTTAAATATATATTTACAAATTTCTTCAATCAACAATTAGATTCACTTATAATGCTCTACTACTAAAAAAACTGGCTCTTGAAATCTCATATTTTCTGAATTTTTCGAGTTAGAACCGAGTCGTCAGTCGAATGTTCAATATCTGTCGTTGAAAATAAATAAATAAATAAAAAATTGTAAATAAATAATTAAACAGTTGCTAATTGGAAATGTAGGCGGAGTTTCCCACGGATTTCTGAGAATTCTTCCAAAATAATTGAGAAGGAGCACTTACTGGAGTTTGCCAATGATTGGACCCTTTTTAATTTTATTATTTTATTTTTTATTTTGTCTTTAGGTCGAGCGACAAACATCATTCGGTGTGACTGTGCGAGCCCACGCGACATCGCTGACGACAGCGCGACGAGTTCTCGACGCCGCCGCGGCGTCGTTCGAGTTGCTCGCGAGTATTATGGAAATCCCATTACCATTGAACAAGGTTCGAGTTTATCAAATTTTCCTATACTCGTTGAAGGTGCTTCATCTGAACATAAAGAGGCATAGAGTTACAGTAACCTAAATAGTTTCCACCTACACGTGGTAGTCAGGCTCCAACTGAAGGCTCCGGGGATGCGGTATCGCTCCGGTGGAGTTATAATGACGGGTGAGACAGAAGAAAGATGGGAGAAACAATCGGAAGGTAAACACTCCAGTCAGTGCAAGCAAATGGCAACAAGCGGCAATACGCCTGGCATGTGGTGTGGCAGACAACGAGCATATGTAAACATCAAAACAAATTGAAGTTTGTACTTAACTCCTATTACCTGCCCTAAAAGGTCTCAGGTATCGTCTTTGTAGGCAACAAGAGTGTTTACGATGTTGAAAAAACAGCGTGTTTGGGGACTTGAAACAATTAATAAAATTGCATTTAAAAGTGACCAGGAGTCCCCACCGAGTCGTCGTGCCGGAAATAGGTCGTGACCCGTGGAATCTCCTGACATACTGTTGAAAAATGTGGCAGTAAACTTTTTTCCAGCCACATTGTATCACAATATGAGGTTGCAAGAAGCTATGGATAGGTTACAGTCCTCAATACGACTAGCACGGGGCGTGGCTTCCTAGGTGGAAGGGGTTTGTGAGGTGAGATTAAGCTCCTTTGGTCCTCGTACGTATTTGTGTGAAGAGGATTATAAAAACAACAAAAATCAATTTCCACTCAGGACCTAATGAATCTGCAATGGAGATTAGTATTCTTTGAATATGTTTCAGGTTGACTTCATCATGGTGCCAAACTACGATGGTGGTATGGAGAACTGGGGCCATATTCTTCTGTCGGAGAACTTGGCCACTTCTGGTGATGATGCCCATCTTACCTACATCATTGCACACGAACTTGCCCATCATTGGATCGGTGACAAAGCAACGGTGAACAGTTGGCGATGGATTTGTCTACAGGTATCAAACTCTGTTTCCTTCATGAAAAGGTGGCAACGGGAAGTAGAAGCGCCAGCGCCGCTATCACCTCTGTCTTCCGAGGATCGAACCCATCACGAACCATTAAAAATCGAAATCATTTGAACAGTAGAAGCGATAAGCAAGTGATATAATCTGAGGATAAATGAAATTACAATAAAAGTCGGTCGCCTCTCCATCGTATGGACGACCACGATCTCCATCATCGAGTCAGGGCCAGTACGAGCAAATTTTAGATCAATGGGACAAAGGCAAGTCACGGAGGTCATACCTAACAGATTAGTTTCAAAGTATGAATGGTAGGAAAAATTACCCTAAAATTCCATAGATAAGAGCGGTTTAATTTGCCGGTGATGGGCGGGGTTTAGAGTTGAGGGGCGGAGCTTCTTCTTAACTTCTTCTTCGGTTTTTATTTATCCATCTATCAAGTTAGAGGGTGACTGCATTCAATTTCAATTTCATTCCAATTTATTTTTCACCGGTAAATTAAACCGCTCTTATCTATGGAATTTTAGGGTAGTACTATGGAGGTAGTGGTAGGACAGGTAGGGTAGACTCGGCTAATCTGTTAGCCATTGAAGAAAAAATCTTTCAAAAGCTCTAAATGGAAGAGGAAGTCTTGGCGAGGATGGCGATTCATGGGTAGAACGCTCAGCCTCGTACGGGACCCGCACCCATACCGATGCTTCCCGAGCACCATAGTACCTCTTCAATCCCTTTAATATGAGCCACTATTTTTCACTTTTTCGTCTTCGTCATTCTCTGGGTTAGGCCAAATTTGGTCTATCGATCGAGGGATCTATCGTATCGAACAGTCACAGAGCCCTACAGGAGCTTAATCCTCCACCACGTAATCATCACTCTCTAAGATAGGCTGTCTAAGCCTCCCACGTATGGAAAGGGAATGCTGAGTCGGGAAGAAACATCCAAAACAACATGAAGCGGAAGTTGTTGCTGTGATGTTGTGGACTAACAAGGCTAATCGCTCAGATTATTTGTTGGCGTATTGAACAAGCTAGAAGAAAGCCGTAGTAGACAGCCTAAACCTCTTAGACAGTGGGCGACAGTGGGGATTGCGCCTTCGATGTTTGGTTCTACCCGGAAGCGATTGCAAGGATGTATTTGATTAGTGAGGTAGTCTCTTAAGTAGCTTTCGCCTCTTCAAACTCCTAGAAAGGCGACGGCTTTGGAACGTCACAATGTTAAAATTGTTATTGAAAACTTGTTTGTTAGCTATAGACTCACTGTACGGCAGACAAGAAGGATTTCCCCTGTAAGCCGCTACTGGTGGAAAGTACACGTGCCCAATCAGAGCCGAGAGAGGCGACAGGGCGGCTCTGCCACTACAACTCGTACAAAGTGGCCAAGCAGGGGGACTCCGGAAAAGATGAAGAGAACGAAACCCCTTAGTTATAAAATAAAAGAAGGTTCTCAAGGGAAGACTATTGTCCCGAAAAGCGAGGAAGCGGTGGGGAATATTTTTTGAGATTTTAATCTTTGTACCTATATTTACGAATACGGTTCTTGACACCGATGTCAACGTCGAACCTCAGGTTCACCTTCCTAGGAGTTTTGTCATCAGTGTGGAGAGAAGAGCGAATAGAAGTTTCAAGAACCTGGTACAATTCAGTACATATGTCTTCCCACACGATTCTAATACCAGTCAATCGAATCCGACGGGAAGGAAGGTGTAGTCAGCTCACTGGGGTACGGGACGGTGTTTGATTCTCTAACTACTTATGTGTAGGTCACGGCTGGTAAAACGCCACAAGTCGCAAACTGCCTCCCACCTCTAGGTTTTGAAAATTTTTCCAGTAATATAACTAATAACATATTCACCTCAATAGGGACAATCAGTTAAGAATAACAGCTAAAAAAAATGGGGTGAAAATGTATTTGGGGGGGGGGGGGGGNACCAGCGCCCTTTTGCGCTCTGCGTCTCTGACACCGGCGGCAGAGTGCATGGAGATCGCAGAGATGGATTCCTCCCCTTCTAAAAGTTAAGGGAGGAGCTCCGGGGTGGGAGAGATGATTATCTCGTGCAAAAAGCTGGGATGGGGTAAAATTGAACATCCAATTGGTTCACCCACCCCGGAGCTCCTTCCCTAACTTTTGGAAGGGGAGGAGCTCCAGGATGGGGGAGATGATTAGATGGGGTAAGAAATGAAGAGAAGCAGAGCACAAAAGTGCGTGGCACCCCCCAACTATATTTTCACCAAAAATGGTAATAAAAATAAAATTTAAAAATTTTTATAGTCACACTTCCACAATTAGAACTTTGAACGAAAATAGAAGAGTTTTGTATGTAATGGAGATGGTCGGTGTCTGCAGACGTGCAGGTTTAAGAAAAATGGGATTCGCCGGTTAACTCATCGACTATCACCAGAGTTAGTGCTCACCCTCTGACAGTAGTTTGAACCTTGTTACACCCTGCGTAACGGTCACAATGTAAAACCCGTGCCCGAATACTTCATTGAAATCTCATCAACTGGCCTGAACTATTCGGTAGCAACTGAGTCAAACTACTGCTGAGCAACCTTTTGAGAAAAATACAAGAATTTCAAGGATGTTTCAACCTGAGTTTTACGGAGGAAGTTTTGTTAACATTCTTATTAATAAAACTTCTACCGGAGCAAGAACTAATAATTATGAATAATGAGTGATAAAATGACAAAAAGCACAAAAAAATCTACATGCAGGTGAATGGCACTACCCTCATAAATTCAGATAATAATGAACGGTTGGCCTCGTGCAAAGGTGCAAGTAATGGAATATAGCGAATGGTTGGGGTGAACCGTTAGAGAAGAACTCCACAGGCAAGCAGGGTGAACTCACCAGTGGCCACAGCCACTCCTTGATCTCTGATACTATGCAGTTTGGTCTATGTTGTCAGTGTAGAAGGCTCAGAGGTTTGGACCCAAGCCGTATCCTCAGATTCACCTGAACCAACTACCCTTANAAAAAAGTTTGAAGATGCTGGTCACATACAGAAACGATGACCATGGAGATCTCAAGTGGTAGAGCAAAGGTGAAGGGCGCCCATCACTAGGAAGTGACTAGTTCTATTTCTGGTTGTTTGTTCCCGTAATTTTCGACGTAGCTCGGATTTGAGGATTTAGTTGTCTCTACGAAAATTAATTCTTCAAAAACCATAAAGGATTTCCAGTAAATCCTCACAAGATGTAGAATGAATTCCGTTCTGCTCATACCTGGTAATCTTCTCGGCAATCCCCTTATGTCGTGTAACACCTTATAAATCTAAGCAAGCAAATCTAGATTTATTATTGTTGTGCGTTATGGAAGCACTGTTACTTCCAGATTATTATTTTAAAGGTATCCATAGTAACCAAAATTCGAAGTTTTTTGAACAGTGAAAAAATCAAGAAAGAAAAGTAATGACATTGAAAAAGGTAAAAATATCGGACAGCTGGGGTTATGGAGAGCGGATGTAGAAAAAATCCACCATATACGTCTTTTTTTTAGAGATGTTCCATTCCAGTAGATCTAAAATAGTGGGTGCAATCTGTACTTGGGGGCGGCACTACCAAAAGAGGCGTTGCTGGCGAGCTTCAAGCCGTAAGTGTGTCTGAGCACCTAAGTGGACAGCTCTTCGTCGGGGTAACTCCACCCACCAGCCCCTACGCCACCTGCGCAACCAATCGAGCTTTTGTAGAACTTAGGACTTTTTGCAAAATTCTCGTAACGAGGAGTCTTTGAGCGCTCAACAACGATGACGTCATTCCTAATGTTGTCCAAATGCGTCCAAACTACCTTGAAAAAACCATTGTCCACAGATAACGGGGTAGGATGCCCTAGGGGGTGTCACCAATTCCTTAGCGACAGGTTGGCAAGGAACTAATAGAGGGGAAGGGACTCAAGGGACCGCCAGAATCGCGTTTGTGTCGCGTGCTGTTTGTTTTGCAAGTTGTTTTCTTGTTTTCAATGCGTTACTCACATGCATTCACACATACACAAACACACACACATCACACTGTCGCAATATTAAATAAGGTTCAGGCAACAGAGAAACAGAGTGAGGGGTTTGGTCAGAGACGCAGAGGCATCAAGACGTCGTGAAAATGTAATGACCTATTTTTGATAAAATTAATCTTCAATAACAGCTGTTGGATGGTTCTAGCTGCGGTGGGGTAGCAATAGGCGCAGCGGTATTGAAAGGCATGGTCCAAGTATCAAATCCTTGACAGAATCCAGTCCAGGGAATATACATTTCAACTTTTCAAGATCCGTCAAAGGCCAAGAGAATCGGGATCTCCTAGAGGAGCTTATGAACATGTCTCTTACCTACGACTCGATTTTACAGGAGGATCTCACCGACTACATCGCTTACAAGGTGGCTGCGGCGGTGATGGGTCACGATCAACGCTGGGAACGATTTTTACTATCGAAATACGTGGCCATTCAACTCACTGAAGATTTCTTTGCGCCAGAACATTCGCTGATGATGCCTGATAATGTCACTCAGAGTCTGGTAAGTGAATACTAGTAGCTCTGTAGCTCGCCCTAGGTTTTGATATCAGCTTTTCTCTTCTTCTTCAGTTCTCTATAGAATTTGATTGGTGGTTGCAGTCAGCGGTAGGTACACAGGACACACCCAGCTGATGGCGTACTGTATAAGATACATCAGAGTTGATTTAAAAAGGAGGAAAAGGGATGAACAAAACCTCTCGGTACTTGAATAATCACCATAAACTACCCACTTCCTGAATGATGGGCTGATGGGAGGATTGGAAAGGTGGGGAGGGGTTCACCCTAGGAGGAGTTCTCTCTTGTTGCCAAGAATGAGCCAGTGACTTTGGTACCATCTAGTGAAGACCAATATCTTCACAGTTTACTATTTATGGGTTTTGACATAATGGATGGAGCTGACAAAACGCTGGCATTCCTAGCCGTATTTGTCAACAGGCACAAAAACTGCCAGACATCTCATAAACATCGCTAGAACTCATTCTTAGCTATTCTGCAGTCCTGCAGCTCTCTCTCAGTTAGATGATGCAAATGTTTTGCAGAAGTGGAGTGTTTATCAGGTTGACACACACACCCGAGAAAACAGTGTAACAACAAGCATGTTTACGTGTATTTCAAAAGGGGTTTACTTCCTGTTTCTTCTCGATTTGTATCATTTCTATATTGGAACGGAGTGTACATAACAGGATGACTCAATAATTCTCAATGGAATTTGGAGGCGTGGCGCATCCGGTGGTGATTGGTCAGCTGCTTTTTACAATGATGGGTGCTCCACGTGCACTACAAACAGACCTTTCGCTAGCTTAATCCTTGCTGAGAGGATTCCCACCCAACTAGTCCAATCATCAAACATCATGCACGGCGTATCCCAAAAAGAGATTCATCAGGGCCAACTACTTTGCCACCCATGCTTTATGATAAAAGAAATGTTTCTAACACTGCAATTGGTTCCATTTCCTTCGTATTCACCCGGACGTCCTCANATGCGGGCGTCTCGCTCTGCTTCCTTTCAAGAGCATGTTTGTTATTATTTTTTGAAAGAAATGGAGCTTTGTTTACTAGAAGTGATGAACTAATGTTCCACCGAGGAAAAGTTTAGTAAACATATCAAACAGAAGGGAAAAAGGAGAGGAAAAAGGTCAGGTGGCCCAGCCTTACAATCGTGCTTGGGATGGGCCATGCATTCGGCTGCCATGAGCGAACCTTGAGCCATTTGGATGCGTACTGGGTTTGACATGGTTTTCAAAGGTTAATGAATCTGGTCGAGTTGTTTTTTGTCGTTAGCGGACAGTTGATGGGAAGCAAAAAAATAATTTTTCGCATTTTCATTATCTGAAGGCATCCACGTGACGCCCATCTGTGTTATGCGCCTTATTAGTGGCTTAATTTAGACTGCAGTGCATTGTGAATGACTGTAGCGTCGCCTATTCAATGACTACCGGGGGCTTACCCATGTAGGAGTCGGCGCTTTCATCCTCCCAGACGAGCCTGATAGCAGTTAAGTGTCTAAAGAGGATCAAAGCCTTGGTTGGACCGGGCAGGTATTAACTCAGAACTCGATCCACCGACCACGCATGCACCACCACATTACCTCACCCCTGTTTATGTTTACATTAAACAAATAAATAAGTTGAACCCCATGGAAAATGTTAGGTATGTAGATACGAGTCTTTCCAGATTTCCTCTCACTGCTATCTGAAAGGAGTCGTATTGCTTGAAACCCTCGAAAGCGTCGTCGGTGAGGAATACATGCTGGCCGTCATTCGGAACCTTGTTGCAACCAAATCAACGTTCGATCTGAAGACATTTCTGTTCTACTTTGAAGATATACCTGTCGATAGGAATGTCTCACTGGCACAGGTAATCCGGTTTTGAGGACATTTCTAACGAAGTTGTAGATGACTGTTATATCGGTTTAGATCCATTAAACCAGACGATCAATAATGCAGAACCTTCGTAGCCGAGCGTGCAGTAGGCGTAACTCCGCCTCTTGGCAAAGCCCCGCCTTCTAAAACGCCATCGCTTTTTTTTTCTTCAAACAGCCACCTACATTCTCTGTTCAATTGCTTCAAAAGGAAGCTGCTTGACATCGAT